GAGTCTCCAACAAAGTCGGAAACAATCAACTGATGAACCCGGTCTAGACATCCCTGACAAATACTGGCAACGCTTAATAGATGAAATCAATTCAAACACTTTTGAAGACTGGCAAGAACTGTTTGATATAGCTGGTTTAAATACTCCCAGTCAAGCATTTGACCCAATTGATCAAGTCGGTTCAAGCAATTTTGACAAATACCAACAACAACCAGCTGATCAACCCAGTTCAGGTATTTCCAACAAAGATCAGCAACAGCCGATTGATCAATCCAGTCCAAGTACTTCCAGTCAAGACCAACAACAACCAATGGAACAAGACCAACAACAACCAATGATTCATGACGAGTCGGGCAATACTGTTTCAAATCAAGTGACTGGATTGAACGAACGGGATCAGAGAACCTTTGATCGTATAAGACAAAGGCTTGTAGCGTCTAAAAAGATTGCAAAAGAAAAACGCGAAGAATATTGGGATTATGAAGCCATTGGACTGGAGCAACAGTCAGCGTTAGAAAGGGGAGAAGAGATATCAGGGTCAACGTACGATCCAAATGTTGAAAAGAAATTAAAAGAAGAGTATGTAGCGGCAAGGATAAAAGTATCCAGTATCAGACAAGACTTTAAAAGGTTTATGAAAAGACGTGGTTTAGAATTTCAAGAGCCAGATTCAGATTCAGATTGATGGTTTGTCGATGATTTTGATTTTGAATAAATTTAAACTTTCTGATATGTTGATATTTGTCGAGTATTGTGAATGGGTCAACAACCATATCATTGATTGCGTATACTGTGTTTGGTATTACATCAACAGTTACTGGATTGTTGATTGATACATTGACATGGTTTGTTCCATATACATCAATGACCTGATAACAACCAGTGTTATTTGCAAGGATAGCATATTCATAGATACTTTCAACAATATACTTTGAATTATGACGTTTCATGCATTCAATAATATCATTTCCGTCAATCAGATCCAAAACAATGTCAATATCCATATTAATCATGGATTGATTGTTACCATTAAACAATAATGTATTATCTGAAATATTAAATTGAATTGTTTTTTCAGTATCTACATTTTGCAGCATATACCCAAATTGAATATCAAGCCAATATCCAATGTTTTGATTGGTGATTTCTTCGGTATATTTTGCATCAACTCCATCACATTGGTGAACATGTGTCTTGCACTGTATTGTATTGTATTTTGGGTGGAAAGGATGTTTGTTGATATGTCTATTAAACTGTCGCTTTAACTTGCTTGCTTGGTTCCTGTTAAAGAAATCAGACCTTTGTTGAAGCAATCAAACATTGCCGCTTTACAAACAAAGCTTAAAGTGGAGATATTATATCTCCACTTTCTCCACTCACTCCCTTAACTAAATTACTATAAAAGCCAAGATACTTTCTTACTAAATAAACCATCCTCTGAATATCCTCTGAATATCCTCTGAATCAATCATCTAAATATCATCTGACATAACTTCGTTATTATCTATTAAGTTCAACTCGTTATTCTGTTGACTTTCATTTGCGTGACTACTTCCTGATTATCATTCAAGATCTCTTCTGACCGATCTTTTCTACAGCGGCAGATTATATATTATTACCTTATACTTTACTAATTGAAAGACTCAGTCTCTTTCTCTATTTTCTATCTCTATACTTCTTGCGCGATAATCAAAAATCTTTAACAGTTCCAATGCTCTATTTGTAGTTGAATCAGTTGCTTGTACGCCTTTGTTGGTTCAACTCGACTCCTGAATCCTTGGATACGTTTTGTAAACCGCAACTTGACTTTGACGAGTTTAACATCAATATTCACCATTGATCCAATCATTTTCATGATATTGTTATTGGGGTTTTCCTAATGGCAACAATAAATCAACGACAAAACTCAATCCGAGCATCTCGTAATGGACTCTGTATGAGCCAATTGAACCACTATTTTTGTTCAAATCAGAATTACTTTGTAACAGGTTTCCAACAGGTTTCCAACATTTTCAACGAGTTTAAACAATAATAGAAAGTAAATCCAATCCAATTGTTTGTTGATACCATTCCAAAATGGATTTTCTTGGGTTTATTCAAAACCACTTCAATGACATTACACATCACAAGCACATCCTTAAGATCCAAGTATCTACAAACTTTGGTCGTGAACTCGGTTTTCATCAAACCTAAAAACGGTCAAAAGTATTATGTTGTTGAACGAAATCTAACCAACCATCTTGTAAAAGTAGCAACCCACTATTTGTGCAATGATATTGAACCTATTACTCATGAAATCATACCTCGATATATGCTCAAGTCGGACAACCCAATCAAAGTAGATCCCGACAAACTCTTGAAATCAAACATTCAATTCCTTGATGAAAAGTATCATTCAAAATCAATACAAGCCACTTTATCATTGAATCAATGAGTTGCTGAACAAGAGTTACTACAAGACATTGTATTGTATGTATATTTTACATTCTGGCTTAGTACTTTGATCAAAAGTCATCATCACACTGTAACGGACGCTCAGATCAATGTAGACCGAATGGCTCATCATGTATTTAGCGATTTAGATGTTCTTGGTAAAGTGATGGAAAAACAGCACACATTACAGCAGAAATTGTATCAAATGGTAATGAGTGCCGATGTAGACGCCAAATATGTTGAATATATCATACTATGAATCCGTAATCTTGATGGAACCCAGCACCATTTCTTGGGTCAAGCAAATGCTGGAAAAACACATCCAGTTCATCGTTTGCCATGTCGACACTTGGCTTGTTGTATCTGATATTCCAAATCTACCGCATACAGTGGTATTGTTGGTGAATCATCAATTACATTCAAAGTATGTTTGATAGTTATTGTGGTATTATTTTCAAACGATTTACTGATTTGAGGTAGCCAGTAAGTTATCATGATTGTATTGCTGGGATTTTGGCAAATATTGATTATTTTCAATAACCATTGACTATTTACTATTTTGAATACTGGTATCTGGCCATGGAATATGATGACAAATGACTTTAATGTGTCCAATTTCAATTCTGATTCTGATTGTGATTCCTGTTTTCATGCAATTGGTCAACGATTTTGAATATCCATTTCCGTCGACCCAAAATACATTACATCCAGTTTTGAAACAAGTCTTCAAACAAGGTTTTGATGCAAGTTATGTACAATAGTCACATCCTGTTGTTCTGGATTTTCAATTCTTGTCATGATTGTGTTTTGTCTACAGAAATACTGATATTTTACAATTATCATGCTCACAATTAATCATTTGTGATTTGATGGTTCTTTCCAGCATCATGTTGTGTAAAACTCGGACAGTCCTACAAATCGGACAGTTCCATTGGGTTCAAGATATACAGGATATACAAAGTGATTGGCATCCTGACATTGGATCAAAAGTGTTGTAACAACTTCATGGCAAATGGAGCAAGTGAGTGTTTTGATGGAGTTGGTAGCTTACATGGATTTCATTGATTGTGATTTATAATAATCGTACAGAAAATATAATATTGTATTTTGACTATTATTGATTGACATAATGTTTGATGTTGGACAATACAATTGATACAGTCGATACACAGATTGAAAGAAAGTTGTTCATTCAGAGTAGATTAACAAGTGATTTCCACAACGATGGACATGATTGACATGATACCGAGTTGTCCCACCACAGTGTAAAAAGACTGCACTATCAGTTCCACGATCATTGGTAGCAACATCATCATCACTGGAATTTGAATGTGTCATCAATTGATGAGACATTGTTGGTTGACAAACTGTCTCACTGCAATGGAAAGAGACATTTGAGTTGCTTTCATTATTGCTTGAATTCAAAAGTGTCAACATCAACTGTTGGTATTCACACTCACTACAATGACAACTATTGCTGTAACAGAAACCAGTCTCTTGTAATGAATACACAGTTTTATCGAGTATTTTCAATAATCAAAGTAGTACTCGATTCCATCCATTTCTCGATGCTATTACTCCAGTAATCGACAGGAGTACAGCCATCGTTATCATCATATGGACAATATTCATCATCAGATTCTACACTACCAGCCATACACCAAATGAGACATGCTGTCTTGTGGAACTCTAGTGCGTTCCTGTTTGGTAGTCGAGTGAGATTGTTGTGAATGAAATACAATGTCATTTCACTGTTGAATTTGACTGTTTGTCGATTGTCAGTCCATCTCTTTTGCCTTGTTCTGCGGATAACTTTCAAATCTTCAATTGTCTCGATCCACTTCTTGTGCTTGTCACTTGTCGAGTCATTCGTCTCATTGATCACTTTGATCACCAGTTTGTCATTCACTACATCCACATATTGCTTTAGTTTACCAAATTGGTCATGGCACTTGATACACAACAACAGTCCGTTCTGTATTTGATGTTTCTGTGTCAAACCAGATCGTTGCAAGATGGATGGTTCGTTGTATGCCATTCCAATGTTCTTTTGTGATATGATGTGTGCTCCTTGCAAGGACAACTTATCCCAGCAAAACAAGCAGACACTGTCTCTCTTTTCAACTGCCTTGTTCAAGTCCTTGTGCTGTAGCTCACTCACTTCTGCAACATAGTCCAGATCATCAGCAGAGTTGTTTCTTGATGTTGGGTTTGATGAAACTGGAGTGTGCCAGCTGGATGAATCGTTGTAGTCTTTGTGGAATGGCAGTATGTAATACCCAAACATGTCATCAATGAATATACAATGATGTTCTGGGTCTGACAACTGGACCTTGGTTGAGAATTCCTGCTGCTCTGCAAATTGGTTGGCAGTCAGCAGGTTGTGCAGTCGAGTGATGTGTGAGGTTTCTCCCTCTTGGATGATTCCCAAAAACAAACCTCGTTTGTTGTCATCCTGCCATTCAGACTTGACTCTCTGTGTTGGTATGGCTTGAGTGCTGATTTGGTAGTATTCATTCAACAGTTGTGTTGCTGCTGTCTTTGTTGTTTCAATATTCATTTGATGTTTTTTGACAAAAGAATGAAACTCGAACCAACCAAAATAATTGCAGTCAACAATCAAATTGGACAATATTCACCAATAATCTTTTAAACTCGTACAGTTTGTACAGTGTTGTCATGAAAGTCATGGTTTGACACATTTTCATCAAGTTACCAGTGAGTATCAACGAGTATCAACCAACAAAATTGGTCTCGTTGGTCGATATACTATTGATGCACTTGCATATGAAACTGTACGAGTTCAATCAATGTTTCTTGCACGGTTGTCAAATGTTCAGATGAAATCAATCTCATGGCAGGACACAAAATGTGACATTATCAAATAACAACCAATACTAAGCAATTGGGTTACCACATGATGGCTCATTCGGAATACGAGTTGAATCCATTAGTGGTCATTGATACCATCAAGTGTATTGAAAAATACACAATGGTTTGTAATGGTAAATTGATTTCAAACACATCACCGCTCATTTATCACTGGATACATATTTGAAAGTATCCAATATCACTTGATACTGAATGTCCAAGTGTCTGCTCAGAGTTGCTCACAATATTGACGATATTACAACAACATGCTGATTCAAATTTGGAAAAAGTAATATTGGCTTGTTTAATCTTGAATTACTGAAATCAATGGTTTACAATGATCCGATCATGTCAAATATAACCGATTGCAATTATTTTGGAATCATGTCAGATTATGACAATCTGTTTGAGTTGTTTGAGCCAATACAGTGTGATGGAGTGATGGAAATACTCGAAATACACACAATACAACTCTTGCAGCAGTGTATGAAACTATCAAGCATGACATGGTATGGCATGAAGGGTGTAGATTAGACTTGATAACAATGTGTACAATTTGGACTTTTAAATTCGGAAATAGCAGCTCTGTTCCAACATCACATTGATTGTAAATGTCGATGTTGTTTAACCTTGTACAAATGACCATTTCACATGCAACTTTAGCCTGATATCGAGTATTTTCAAATGAATGCAAGCTTGCGACACTCGCTTGATTCGTTTGGCTCGGATTCTGGTTGATATTTACGATATCGATGCAGAGTTGCATTCCAGAATGAATGTGCATAATCTGATGTGGGAAATCGTTTGGTTTCATTGTTATCAGTCATTGACACCAGTGATTGCATTGATTGCAAATAGTAGTCCAAGTAATCATGCATAAACAAACACCAGATAGTCACTGATAAACTGATGATATCCAATGTATACATGACACATTGTATAGTTCCATTTAATTGCCAGCAATGTGTGATTGGATTACTCGAGTCATCAAGCAGTTTTCAATCAGTTGTCAAGAACAATCAAGTCATGTCCAATAAACTGTCTGATGTGCAGGTGTTTTGGCATTGGTCCGTTGGTCCATTAGTACGATTGTTGGTTGGCAATTCGGACTTGTAAATGACAATTGATTCTTGATTGTTGCATTGGTATCCATATGTGTCCATATGTGACTCATTGTATACGGAACAGGACTGACAAGTGTGTCTGAATTGATGCCAGATGATACAGCCTATCCAACAAAAAGTAATACATTGATCGTGTCTGCATGGAAATAAGCTTCATAACTTCCACTTCTGAATGTATGAGAATCAACTTTCAAACAACGGATACGTCCAATGACTCTTGCAAATGCATTGATAGAGTGTTGTTGAATAATTCGAGTGTTTACAAATCAGCATCACTGGAAATAGTTACTGTTATTCAGACAGTCAGTTGTCCAGACATTACAGTTGTAATATTACACATTTTCCATTGTTGCTGGATACCAATATGCCTACATTTAAAGATGAATGCTACCAACAAAATATTCCATTAGAACTGCAACTGTTTCTTCAAGATCATGGACATATCGTTGTAAATCGTTTCAAATATCAGTCCATTACCCCATTTTAAACCAATCCATCAATCTCCGATTCGGCTCGCTCAATACTCTCCAGCAACTTGCATTCCATTCCTACAACGACTTGTTCATCGTATCCATGTTTACAGCGTTTGTTGTTTTGACTGCAATTTGCATCAACCCAGAATAATGGAATTTACCATTTCCTTTGTAGAATTTGTCCATAATGTCTGTTTTAATGTAATCTTTTGACTGTTTTTGGATACAAAAGTCGACAATCATTGCTTTATCATCGACTTGACCGCAGTTTGATGAGTTGACAGCACAATCGCATATACACAGGATACGAAATATCAAATCCAATCAAAGTTGGGTATTGTTTGCTGTATCCTTGTCAACTCGGACAATAGCACCACATGGCAATACTTGATAGCAATGTAGACTGTTTTGGTGCTGTGAGATGCAATGATACAACGAGTTTCAGGACCCATTCCAATATGATGCAGCATATTGCAGACAAACAGTTCATTTGTATCTGGTTGCCTGATACCTTTTACATTGTATTGTGTGGGTCTGTACTGACGAGTCTTGATGTAGCAACAAACAGTGAGTTGTTGCTGACATTCCAAGCGAATCTGGTCTGGATTCCGTTTTTCTTTGGAGATAATGAGATGTCAAACAACTTGTTAATGTCAGCCTTGTAGTGTTGAATGACAGTATTGATTGACAGCAGTTTGAATCGGTTCCGTATTTCCATCCAGATACTGTGATATTGGCAAGAAGGATCTTGCAGAGTTGTTGGTTGTTGATGGGCAAGTTGGATATAAAGTTGTTTTCAATCAATCCGTTGACAATCATGATAGCATACTTTGATTTGTATGTACGCAATACTGCTGCCATCTTGTGTATGATGTTTTCTATTCCTACAAACGCATTCCATTTCCAGCTGTTTTCTTTGCAGACATTTGATGTTGTGTAACAATGAGAATGTAAAATGTAGTACAGAAATAGACGACTAAATTACAATTATTCCAACGGATTTAGCACTCTTGTTCAAGTAAAACAGTATCATCCGATGCTCACTATACACTACTTGTACGTTGAATCATGCCAATTACTTGCTATTTTAACAAGCATGGAATATCACGGCACATATTGATGACCAACTAATAGCCGAGTGTCAACTCATTTCAGTTTTGGTCTATGCTCATTTCTTAACCCTAACCCTTGACCATAGCCATTTTTAGGGTGAAGCTTTATGACCAACCATATGATATTCGAGTGTATGGTCAGATAGCAGCTCAGCCACGATTGCGGATATCATATAAAGGGAGACTCTTCAAAGTTTGGCATTGATCACAAATCAATATCAACCCTGACAACGCTAACCCTTAAAACGGTCATTCAAGGGATATGCTTTTAATATCATTTATTCAATAATGTATATAAATACAGTTCAAAACTTGACCTGTTGAATGACATTACAACTTGCTCAACCAAACCAGTAGAATGAAGCTCGCAGTTGCTGTATTGTCATCGATCCTGTTTGCCTGCTCGGTTACTATTGCCAATCCAATCGATCCCAGTGCAACTACAAGCACCGAGTCTAACACCTCGCCAACTCATAATCCAAACGGTATAGGCTTAGGCGGTCTTAATCCACTTCCAAACATCATCAAGGATTTGCTCGAAAAACACCTAAAGCTAAATCATAATCGTAATCATTATGGAAGAATATGCAACTCCTTAAAATCTGAATATGAGGATCAAAAGAAACTGGTAATGAACTTGGGGAGAAAGATTCAAGTTTTGAAACATAAAGCTCAAGGAAACAGTGGCGGTCCAAAATATGATGATGAAATTCAGGAGACTAAGGTTGATCTTAAAGCTCAAAAAGCCAAACTTGCCGATCTTGGAAAAGACTACCATGAGTGCGAGTCCGAATGTAATAGTATTAGTTTTGAACTGGAACTCGTCGAAATAGATCTTGTGGAACTCGTTTTTGGAGGGCCTTGGGATCCTAAATCATTTGGTCAGCAACTTTCGCTTATCGGCAAACATCCTTCCGTTATGGAATACTTTGACGGATCAGGTAATAAAGGACAATCATCAGGACGCAGTAAGCGTCTTGGTCAGAAACCTAGTGGCCAACAACAGCATCAAGATTCACAACCATCACCGGATACACCATCTGAATCTGGATCCACTGGACAGGGAGCTTCTTCCAATAGACGGAAAGGTTCATCCAAGTTTATGAATGGATTGAAATCATTCTTTCAGCGATCCAGACGTGACGATCCATCCAATTGACTTGAATGCTAATCTGGACTGATTTCAACCGATTCGACTGTATTTCTGATTAAATTTACAATAAAATTGTATGTACATGCATTGTATCTGATCATTGTACACGGTCTTGGTTGGCATGATATCATATTGTACATTGACACTTGTATTTCCAATACGATACAGTTGATTGTATATTGCATAGTTGTACACATTGATGATGCTGACATGCATGTGTGTATTGTGTCAATATGATATTGCTTGTCATGTCGTATTGACACATGCAACACCAATACCAGCAATAGTCATGTGTGTTGATATCAGATCTGACCAATTTGACTGGTTTGACTCGTTGATTGTAGTGTCAAAATAGTTGCATCAATAGCCTGACTGATCACACACATCAATCGCAGTATCAACTCTGTCAAGTGTCAAATATCACATGTTGAATATACAATGCCAACAATATGGCCATTATGCACATGTTGATGTATGCAGTGATCGTATACTGGTCGATTGGTGCAATATGATCACACATACTAATGGAATGTAATAATCATGGCATTTGTAGCAGTATACCATATTTCAACTGTTGATATCGCGCATCCAATATCGACATGATCATCCAGATACAGTGATGGATTCCAACAATGCATACCATGACTGAGCTATGCGATCATGATGTGTATTCAAACAACTACGATACACACTGGATTGATCCAATACATGCACGACTTGAACACACCACATTAAAAATACATATAATATCAGTTTGTCACTAATGAATTGTATTCAGTCGAGTTTATTGAGAGTCATTGTGTGACTCTTGACAGTGTGGTGGGTGTTTTCAGGCACAGTTACTTGATCAGTTGTAGTTGATGATAATTCACATCGAGAGTCCTGGCGTACACCATATCAACTATAAATAATCATGACCACCATCCATTCAAAAAATAACCAGTTTTATTGATATATCTATTTAGTCCTCAAGCTTTCTTGTGAGTGGCCTTTGAATGCTTACTACCACGACGAGCACTACCAAATCGCGACAATGATCTCCTAAGAGTAGATCTGCCCTCTGAACTTGAAGTACTTGGTTGTTCAGGCAATCTAACAGTATGCATCAAATTCATGATCAGTATCAATTGACATATCCACACATCAATATCAAACAACTTACTGTGATAATGGCCAGAGCACTTGATCACCGTTTGAAATAGTAGGATATCCATCAGTCACGGTTTCGCATCCACATCCAGGACCAAACCCAATGCGTGTATTTTGTAAATCAAATGTGACTTCAAGTCGAGTAATAAATGGAATACCAAGAGTTGCTTTGTCATTTGAACCAGCTGTCACAGAAAACAGGTCTATGATTCAACATTATATTAGTCAGATTAATCAAACAACACATATTGCATACAATTGTCAAATATTTACCATGTTTAGAATCAATTATCTGTATATAGTCTTTGGGACCCAACTTAATTGTTACAACAGAATCACGGTTGTCATCAGTTACGGGATTTTTAGCATGCATTGTAATTGAAAGCGACGGCAGCTTTTCCCATTTGATTTTAAAATCGGATCTAATCATTAGATGATGTTTCCAGAATATGTTATCAATATCTTCCGGGCTGAGCTTGTGCTTGCGTTTAAGCACCTTATTCTTGATAGTGATAGCACCACTACCAACAATAGCATTGACCAACGCTGTCACGACTACTTTGGGAAAACGCATATATAAAAAGCATGTTTCCACACGCGAGTACAAAGTATGTCCATGTTCCACTTTTTTTTGGAATTCAGCAGGCAGCTCCACTTTTTCGCCATTGACTAGTATACTCTTGATGTTGACAGTAAATTGATCGTTTGTTGGTGAGTCTACCCATGCAACACTGCTTCCATCTGTCCCGCATTTTGGAGTTATGCCCGTGTTTCCTATATTGATGAAACTTTGCTGCAGCATATCATATGGACATAGTTGAAGACTAACCTCGTTATTGGGAATGACATCATTGCTGTACAAAACATCCATCGCAGAGGCTGGTGGATGATGCTTTGACAACGAGGAGTAGCCAAATCCAAATACTCCATCAAACTTTGGATTGATACCAACTATATCTGGCGATTGTTTTTTAACTGCTAGTACTGGTAATTTGATGCCAGTTATCCCAGTATCTGGAATCGTCACAACTGCATCGGAACTAAACCCACTATACTCTTCGCCTTTGTACTTTATAGTAACGGGTTCCCCACTTGGAGTACTTTCTGGAGCCAAACCTACATCGTTGCTTGAACTAGGAAGTGGTACGATTGTATCAGACATTGTTGAATCGACTAGTAAACCCAACTATTTTAAACAAGTGTGAGATTGATATCAATGTAATATTGTTGACATCAAACTACAATGCATGGCATGATACATACATCAACTCCATCAACATTGGATTTCATTCTGTAACATTTCTTGATATCACCATCCAACTCAACGGGTGATCGTTTTGACAGCCTATTATTTGATTGACTGTCAATTCCAATTGGTGAGTGTAATGCAAGTCGAACTGCAGCAACCGCCTGCAACGCAAGTATAACGCATTCTAGAGTAATCAGCATTGTATCGAGTAGTGTGATGAAAGTGTCGTGAATCTGGTAGATGACTGCCGTTTTGTAACGACGGCAGCTTCAAGGGTGATAATCAGCACTTCAAACGGATATTTAAAAAAAGCCAAAAACACCCTGTAGGGTGAATCAATATACAAGCATCACTGTTGGTGTATAATCAACCTCACTAGTATATTGCATTGATATTCTCAATTGGGGTCATGTATCCAGTGATCAGGTAGTGCCATTATGGATAGTTATCATCACATACAATCCATTACTACAGCACATACTGCCACTGTATACCAAATACTTGACTGATTGTTCAATTGGTCGTGTTTTGGATCACTCGGACACAACAGCATCCAACAGCCTGTTGTTGCAGTATTTCAAAACCATGACTTTTCCATTGGTATGACTGCACAGTCATTTTAGGTTAATCTAGACTGTACACATCAAACACTGCTGATTGTGTCACAACATGATCAACATCAAACTCGGCAATCTGTCGCTGCTACACCAAATGAGTGATGTTGTACTATAATTGAATTGAAGATTGGCAGGTCGTTCAACAAACTGGCCGTGTCAACAGGTCAGATTGTCATCGTGTACATGAACCACAATGGATGACCATGCCATTCAAATCAGCACACAATATACTGGTATATGCAAAACAACATCACCAATACAATCCAATCAAACCCAATCACAAACGTGGTGTTGAATCCAATGCATGCGAGTACTTTTTAAGCACATGATACACACTGATGGTGATGGTTGCTGACAGTCACATTGTAGTGTACATGTCCAATAGTGTCCACTGTCATGTCGATTGTTGCTATCCGTGACATCCAACTGTACTTGTATTCACCAAACGTGCACAACATCTAGGGCTGACTGCCAGATGCTCTCATGTTTGGCATACAACTAGTCACCATCAGACCAAGCGTATACGCTAGTACAGCGCCATGAATCTATTGGCAAGTGGTTTCAATTTATTCTGGCGCGTTGAGGGTTGGATGTGTACTAGACACAATGTTGTGGATATAACTGAACTATAACAGGATAATATCATGCATAATGGTACGGTCTGGATCTGTTTGGTAGATATGCAACCATATATATGACAACCCAACTCGTCCTTTATCACGGGTTGGTTTTAGAAATGTCTGTTATTTTGGTTGATACATGTTTCTTGCATAGATTGACAGTATTGTGTGTATTTAGTCTGATTACATTGTAAACAGTCTAGTTGATTACTCATTCACTGCTAATAACCCGTTTGTACAACAGAATCGATCATTTGCTCAGTATCGAGTATTTCCAAATACAAACTTGAATGAAAAGTATTGCCACAATACTGATCAACTGTATTACTGTTTACACTGTGGTATTATTGATGTATTGGAATGTTTGGTGATCAGATACACAATGATAATGGTAGTACAAATCATGGCAGTTGTATAAACCAAATGTGATTAAAACCAATAATAATGTCAGACAAGATTGGATAATGAATTAGCGTGTAAATCATCAACATTGACCAAGATTGATTGAAATGGTGAGATTGGGTTGGATGGTGATGAACACAACAAATGTGTGTACAGAGTTGTATTGACAATATTGACAGTCAAACACAACATGAATGTGGGTTCAAACTTGGTGATCGTACAATGTATGATTACTAAAAGTGCACAATGTGTAGATTCAACACTATAGTCTGATTGTGTGTCATATGATGATCGTTGTATTTGGAACAATCAATGCAGTCAATGTGTAGTAACCATTGTATATTGCAATGCAGAATACAATCATTGCAGGATGAATATCAAAGTGATTCATTTTACTTGAATATGGTTGTAAAAAGGAGCGTTTGTGGCTGCACAACACTCCTGAAGGGTGTGCTTTTCAACATACCTGATAAAAGGGTCGTAAAAGCATAATTCAATCGACATGAATAGCAAATTGATCAATATGATATTGTGGATAGGGGTAACATACTGTCTAGTTTGATATTGGCTCATTACAAGCAATCAAGTAACCCTGTGTTGTTGGTTAACCTAAAAGGGTTGGTTTGCTATACAAAACATACAAATACAATCGATTACCTTTAGCTTTATAATCGACACCAATCTCAACACTCTGTTTTTGTATTAATTGTTTAAACCCATTGATTGGTTTGATGAAATTGGTTGATATTCTATTCGTACTGACTGCGGCAGCAACCGCCAATGCAATACTGATACCGACTGGTAACGATGGTCCACTCCAAGCATCAAGCACTTCAAGCCAAATGTCTGGTCCAACTGATGAACCTAATCCAAATACTTTGGGCGACTTGCAAAGTATAGTGGATGCAACTAATTTAAGCATTTTCGACGAAGACTGGAAATACCTATTTGATTCGACTGATCCAAGCACTTCCAATGAAGACTGGAAAAATATAGTAGATCAACCCAGTTCAAGCACTTCCAGCCAAGTATCTGGTACAACTGATAAACCTGATTCAAATATTCCCAAAGATCAGCAACAATCAATAGATGTAGTTGATCCAAGTACTTCCAGACGAGGTCGAAAACGGCCGATTGATGAACCCGGTTCAAACACTTCCAAATATGACCAACAACAACCAATGGATCAAGCCGGTCCGAGTGCTTCCAAACAAAGTCGAAAACAATCAACTGATGAACCCGGTCTAGACATTCCTGACAAAGACTGGCAACGCTTAATAGATGAAGTCAATTCAGACGCTTTTGAAGAATGGCAAGAACTGTTTGATATAGCTGGTTTAAATACTCCCAGTCAAGCATTTGACCCAATTGATCAAGTCGGTTCAAGCAATTTTGACAAATACCAACAACAACCAGCTGATCAACCTAGTTCAAGTATTCCTGATCAAACTCAGCAACACCCAATAGATGCAACTGATTTAAATATTTCCGACCAAGATCCACAACAGCCGATTGATCAATCCAGTCCAAGTACTTCCAGTCAAGCGCCTGGTTCAACCAATGAACCCAATCCAAGTACTTCTGACGAATACTGGAAACCATTATTTGATATAATTAATCCAAATATTCCCAGTCAAGACCCAATTAATGTAGCTGTTCCAAGTACTTCCAGTCAAGACCAACAACAACCAATGGGACAAGGCAAGTCTGCTAATACTGTTTCAAATCAAGTGATTGTATTAAGCGAAAGATATCAAAGAACCTTTAATCGTATAAAGCAAAGGCTTGAATTGTCTGAAATAATACAAAAGAAAAAGCACAAAGAATGTCGTGAATATGCAGCCCTTAAATTTGAACAATGGTCAGCGTTAGCAATGGGAGAAGATATATCAGGATCAAAATACGATCCAGACACTGAAAAGCAATTGAAAGAAGAGTATAAGAAGATAAGCAGAAGAGTACATGATGTCAAATATGAATTAAAAAGGTTTATGAAAAGGCGTGGTTTGAAATTGGAAGAACCGAATTAAGATTCAGATTGATGATGTGTCGATGAATTTGATTTTGAATAAATTTAAACTTTCTGATGTGTTGATATTTGTCGAGTATTGTGAATGGGTCAACAACCATATCATTGATTGTGTATACTGTGTTGGGTATTACATCAGCAGTTAATGGATTGTTGATTGATACATTGACATGGTTTGTTCCATATACATCAATGACATGATAACAACCAGTGTTGATTGTAACTATCAGTCATACTTGCAATCACTTGTCAGTTGCATGATACCACCAACTGATCATGTCGTGTATTGTACAACAAACGGAGCAATACACTTGTTCAAAGTCTGTCACAAGCAAAAGGTGTTTGTCATGTCACTGTCAATGTTGGAAATCACAACAGACAATGTTTGATTGAAGGATTTAACACGTCATTACAAAACATCATTGCATTTTATCAATAATATACTAAAACTAACCAATACGTTAATGCCTTGCAACATATTGTGTTTGACTACAATCACATCCATCATTGTGTAGTTGGTGATATTGCTGAATCAAGATATGAAAGTGATCCATCAAGTGGTTCAATTAAAACAAACACTGCAAACCATTCAATCAATGTTGGGAATTGTGTTGGAATACTGAATGGACAAACCTTTGAGTAAAATACAAGTCAATATACAGTAATGCTGTGTATACTATGTATACTGTGGTCAGTGGAAGTGATTACTCGTATCCAATTTCAGATGATGATCAAATAATTCAGACTTGCAAGTATTATGAATTTGAACACATCCAAATTGCTGAAACGTTTGTTACTGAATCTAGAAACCCAGATCCAACAATGACAAATGAGCAGTGTCAGAACAGAAATCAATTGGATGCATTATCAACAATTAGTGAACCTGAAAACAACAAAACATATGACATATGACAGGACATTTCAAACAACTTGTTTTCTAGAGCAACTATAAATGCCATTCATTGACTCGATCAAAAACTACAACAATTACTTGCAATGCATCAAAATTTGGCATCCAAATTTGACATCCATATCCAGTTCAACAACAGGAAGCGTCAAACAAGTGGTATCATGATTACTATTCACAAAACAAGCAAATTGGACAACAGCGCTGTTGCAACTATTATGCTTCAAACTCGGAATCAGAAACGATGCAACTGAAAAAAGTACACAAATTCGACGAGTATAGTTTATTGAATCATTCAACATCAATATCGTGTACTTGAAAATCAATGACATCAATTCCACCATCTACCAGAAACATGTTTGTTGCGGTGTGTTATTTGATGTGAATTTTGCACCAGTATGTTCATGTCTGATACAATTCATGGCTGTTATTGGACTTTGTACGACTGAACCATTGTTCAAATGTGATGATGTTTATGCCATTGTTGTAAATCGAATGGGTGCATATTGAAATACACGATATTGTTGTAATAGATTGTAGTATGTCTTGTATGCAAAATACGACAATCTCTCGAGTTTGAATTCATTGTAAATATACACCAGACATTCATCAAACTGAACCTTTTAGTATTTTTGCTTGCTTGAAATAGCTCCAGCAAACAAACAAGCGTTTATGCAATGCACATTGTGTATGCTACACCAACAGCATCATTGATGGTCAATACACACAAGTATTGTTGATGTACACTTTGAGTTCCAAGACTGTATTTTTTGTAGCGGGAAAGTCGTGAGAAAGCTGCACATTGAGTTGCACTGTTTTGAGCTCCACTTTAAACATCTGTTCAGCAATCGGTCCATACTTTTGACAAGCTCATGTATGAATGATGGTTTATCAGTGTTTTTATCAAGACACGGTAAATTGGTTCATGATCAATGATTTGAGTTGGTTACAATGTTACTGCATTGATGACATTGAGTGCATCTGAAACAGCAACATCATCACTTGATTCGAGTTTCAAACGATAATTAATGACTGTGTTGGTCAAACTGCAGATTCACTGCTATTGGATTCAGACTCTGTAGCAAGACTTTCTGTGTGATGAAACAGCATCTGAAACTGCACCAATCGTTTGATTTCCAATCATATGAGCATTGTCCATAATAATATCATCAGCGGTTTGTGGTTCAGCATTTACCATTATACGAATCCAGTGAATATGTTGATTGTAGGTTTGTAAACAGAGGCTACAAGCCAGCAGTGACATCGTTTGCAGACTTTTGATTTGAAAGCATTCATAGTTTCTGATATGTTACTATCATACAGCAAGGCACATTGCAGTTGCTCAATTTGTCGACTTTTATTGGCAACCTATTATGTACCAACCACAAATCTGATATTGCAGACTTGTAGATGCTTAAAAATGGGGTTTTCAAATTGACTTTTGAATTTGAGGATCGTGAACATATGATGGCATATTGATGGTTGTCATAATTGCCAAGTGTGTTGCAGTTGATTGAAGACACGAAAGAATGAATCAATATTCGATTGTGTTGTTTATTAACAAGTGAGTGAGTGTGTTTATAAAATGGAAGAAACCAAGAAAGTCATGTGAATTCCAGTTCAAACGTCATTGTTGATGGTTTTTGATTGTTAAACTATTCAGAAATGTCTCACATTCACACACTACTAATGTCTCACACAATGCAAGTCAACACTCTCACACTAGTAATGTCTCACATTAATGAGACATTAATTCTGGTGTAAATTTGACTAATTTCCAAATATTTAAATCGTGTGAATTGTCTTGAAATATCCCAAAATTTTGTTATTTTGACTCGATTAAAAAGTCGATTTTTGTTTTACAATTTGACAAATAAATTGCTTTTTTACTCTTTTTCTCCTCATAAAATACCAAAACGATACCTCAATGTTGAATATGGCACACTTACTACTGAAATCGATGTGACTGACTTTGAAGACCTGAGTGGAGTTCAGGATGCTATCAAGTCTGAGTATGGTCCTGCTATGGCTGACATTGATGCTCCTCAACTGCAACTATACACCAACAGCAACAAGGACCAACTAATCAACACCTGGGCTTTACTCGACTCTCTTTCTCAAGACTACTTTACTCAAGACGGTTATTGTGTTGTTATTGGTTGTTTACCTCTACCTACCAGGAAACCAAGCAAAAGTGCCATTTTTGATGCAGGTTCTACTTCTTTATCAACAGCAAACCATCAAGACTTTTCTCCTAAACGACAACGTACCGAACCCAATGATTTGACAACCCAATTCAAGTCGTTTGCAAACGCCCAGCTGATCGATGAATGTATACAGTCGACAGATCATGTCTTTTTCCCATACACCCAAGACAAAATCCAAAAACTATATGTTAGAGAGTGCTATCATGATGTGTTTGGCTTGCTTTTGGATCAAATTGATCGTGGCATGGAATCATTTGCAATATCTGGAACATCAGGCATCGGAAAGTCACTGTTTTTTGTCTACATATTGCATCGCTTGATGGATGACTTTACCACGAAAACTCTGTCCTTGAAGCCAAACCGGATTGTTTATCAAGTGGGATCCTCGTACAAATGCTTTGACTTGCAGCAACAACTCGTCACAGAGCTTGGACTTGAAATGGCCAATATTGTTAGGAAACAAGATACATTGTATATTGTTGATGGACACACGACTCCAAGATCATCATGTTGCATTGTCTTGTTCATGTCATCCCCCCGTTCGGAATGGTACAAGGAATTCGTCAAACAAAAGATGGCAAGGCAATGGTATTTTCCTGTTTGGACTTTGGACGAGTTACAGACTTGTCGACGTCATTGCTATCCGGATGTACCCATTGAGACTATCAATGAGAGATATCGCATGTATGGTGGTGTAGCTCGTTCTGTCTTTGATATTGTATCAAATCCAATGGAGAAAGCTTTGGCTGATGTTGATGCAGTCAAAGGGGTACGAAACATTGGATTCACAATCAAAATATCTGCAAATACTCATACATTGCTTCATACCATTGTGTCGGACGACGGACAGTACGAATTCCTGCATGTTGATATTGCTTCAAGATATGTTGGAGAACAACTCTGGAAACGTCATTCTGCTCAAATGATTACCAATATGCAGCAAATGTTTGATGGTATTCCAACCGAGATTTCAAGACATTTGTTTGAAATATACGGACATGTGGTTTTTTGTACTGGTGGACAAACTCTCAAATGCAGATGCTTGGAAGATGGTAAAGCAACAAAGATCACTTTGGATGCACTCAATGGCCAACGAATTACATTTGGAATAGATACTATTCCTACTGCTGCAGCACTTGATGGCAACTATTACGAACCGACAGATGACGATAATTTTGTGGCAATTGATTCACTCAGTCAACAGGGAATGTTTCAATTTACAGTTGCTGCTGAACATCCTATTTGTGGAGTTGATATTCTTACAAAACTGTGCAATTTGTATGATGAACCCAAACTCTACTTTGTGGTTCCGCCTCACCAGTTTAAAGGGTTCAAAAAGCAGAGTTTCAACCCAATTGATGGCACAGAGCAGGTACAACCCATTCATGGATTGAAGCAATACGTTATACAACTCCCACTAATACAACCAGATTTGAAGAGTAGAAAGTGATGGTTGTATTTTACAACTGATATGACATATTTTCAACCATTCCAACCATTCCAATTATTTGATAATTCAATGTTAATAAAACTGGCATTATACAATTGTGTACATTCAAGGGATTGATATGCATTTAGCATGAAAAGTCCAAATTCAAGTTTACTATTGTAACATACGCTTTTTGACAAATAATGGCTCTGTTGACACATCCTTGTACCATCCAATCGTGTCCGATTGAAGCATCAAGTATGAGTTTGGCAGACAACTTGCAACTTTAATCAACTTGTATACGGTAAGCATTTTGATAATGTCGGCATTTGTCAGGATATCACACCTGACAACTTTGAATCGAATTTAGCAGTGATTATAGGTGAAAACACCAATCTAGCACAACAACAATTCCAGACAATTCCAGACAATCCGATTCTGATTAGTTCTAAAACCAGAACTCACATTGTAACCACAAACCAAATGCGTTCAATATCAATCACAATCATCATGGACGAATGTATCAAAGTATGTCGTCAACTTTTGAATATTTTAGCAGTCTTGCTTAAAACAAGTGGTATCATCCAGTGCACTACATATACTACTCATGGTCATTGACAACTGATTGTGTAGCAATAGTTTGAGTGTATTGTGAGCAAAGTATTGATGATGGAATAACACACATTTTGGTTATGATACTAGAAACACACAAACTTCAAATAACTGCGCAACTATATGTTCAAACTCTGCTCCAAATATATGTTGTTGTATACAGCAAACCTGGTAAAGTGTTGTATTTTGTCATGGCTGCATTGTTCCGAGACATAATTCGAGGCTTGTTACAATGGGTTACTGGATTTGATATCCAATAGGTTTGATAAAAGTGTTGCAATTGACATTTATGTTTGTGGATAACAATATTTTGGAATCAACTCGTTCAATTTGGAAATCAATTGGATTTCTTGCTGATATCAATATCAATGTCAGTTCAACTCAGTTGATTGGAGTAGCACTCGAGTGCTTGCAGTATTGACTTTGGTTCAAACAGTAATACACAGTGACACACTGATTATCATTTCAGCAAAAAATGATACAGAAATGATCATTCCCAAAACAAGGAATCTGAATGACTGAAATACTGCGCTTATTATGCTGATAATCCAATACATGAAATGGCAATTGAAAATGTACAACATGTACATGTCAAATACATGCCAAACATAGCATCATTTTACAGTATGGTTTACAGCTGATACAACTGATACAGTTATTAATATGGGTTGGCTTGTAAATGCGTTTGTGTTGAAATGGCTTGCTCAACGATGTTGAACATCAATTTCGCTGTTTAAAAAGTTGCTCAAGCCATTATACAACAACCAAGACCATTAAAAATGGACATTTATGCATTTATTATGTATTTAGTGTTGTTGCAACTCGACATATTACACGTCTTGATAGTGTGTTATATATCTCAACGACATTTGATCAGTCGGTAGTTTGTGGCAAATAATGAATTAGAGTGGTGTCTTGCTCTGTTTACAGATTGTTTGGCATTTGATTATTTAGTGTAGTGTGGTCAATATTGGTCAGACAGTGTAATACACACTGATTGAATATCAAATACAACACTGGTGACAATATGAACACACATGCTTGTCAGTTTCAACCGTATCCTAGATATCAACCAAGTTTTGTCCAACAAACTTTGTACAAGTGTCGTGCAGTGTGATGGTAAATTGTCTGATGACAACGATATACGTTTTTTGATGACTTGTATTTGTAACTTTTGAACGATTTGTGGTTGAGATCCGCATGTTTACAGTCTTTTACCGATGTTTTGCAAAAAAACATGGTTTGACTGCATGACAATGTCAAATCCAAAATTGCATTTGGAGACAAATTGCCACCAAACATATTATGTATATGCATGGATAATGTCATGACTGATATTCAGGGTATTCATGATACAAGCATCAATGCTGGTTTATTGGATGCAATCGCAGCAGCTGGTGTCAAATATTCAGGCTGGGATTCAACAAGATGCGACCTAATTGTCAGATCAATGATTTTGAAAATATATAGTATTTTCAAACCCAACACATTTTGGATTTGGTGGACTGACTACGATCAAGACCATAACACTGTTCAACAATCACAGACTCGATGCCAACGACATGCATGCAGTATATGATTTGTAGCTTTGTAAAAGTTCCATCTCGTGAATGTGGTGATATTGTTGACCTCGCGAGCAATCACTCTAAACTATACGACTATTTTTACAATGGAATTGATGCCAATACACATGCTTGTCAACACAATAGTTTTTGGATGATTTTGACAACATTTGGATGTGGCATTGAATTGGTTATAACATCAAAACCAACAGCGACAGTATCTTGGATCATGACTCGTCCAAAAGTTGTGCAGATTGTGCGAATCGATTTTCAAAACATATATTGATTGATTATTGTAGCTGCCAACACTGATGAATTAGCAACAACCAACTTGGCAGTGACTTGGCGGTGACTTGTCAATGACTTGTCAGCAGTTTGGAGTGATTTTGATGATTTGGGTTATATGATTTGTAATATTTATCGAGTAAGCTTGTTTGGCCAGCTGTAGCAACCAATGATGATTTAGTCTTGGTTCAACGATTGATCAAAACCCAAACCTGAATGCCAAAAACTGAAAATTGAAAAATACGCTATACTCGATGGTTTGTTTGTCTGGTGAACACCAATGTGCAATGACTGCTCTTGAAATAGTGTCATGACAATGAGTCTTGTATTTTTGTCAAACTCCTGGTATATGAGATCAAGCCGCTTTTATTGCAGGCAAATAAATGACTAAAAACACGAAACAATTGCCAATTGACCTATCAATCATACCATTGAGTACCATGTAAATCCAACATGTCAAAGTAACCAATCATGCAATGATTTGCTGAAACTACCGTGTCCATGAACGTATTGAGTAGGAATATTGCACTGACAGTCACCAGTCATTCAAGATTATGACAATCTGGCGCAAAGACTTGAAGTTGGTTTTCAAAACCTTGATCAAAACCTGTACTAATGATACCATCCATTTGTTTGTTCATGTCATTAATATACATATCGCTGATAAGTAGACAATCATGCAATGTTACATTCGTCCACTATATAGTTGAACGAGTTTTGTCCATGATTGTTCATTGATGATCACCTCCGATCAACACTTGCTATTGGTCAAAATGTAATCGAAACTATTTGTTGAAAACCCTGCCATCACTTGATGATTTACATTGGGTATTAGTCTAGCACTGAACGTTGTCCATTATTCAAACATGCAAACCATCCACCATTGTACACATGATGTTTGGTCTGAGTTGCACATCTTGGATAAATAGTCTGACTAATTTAGTTGTGAATATCGGTTGAAAAACTGGTATTGTTTGGTGTCCATATGTTGTTTATAGTATTGAGAATATTGGGAATATTGAATCAACATTGAATCTATTCAACATACCATGTCACACTGTACATTGGTGTTGATGCATGACAAAACGGTTGATAGTTTATGATGTATACACAACAAATAGCTGTTACAAACCATGATTTTCTACATCAAAAATATGAATCTTGCAAAATCGATATGAATTGTTGCTATTAAAACCATTTACTACGCTACCACTGTTATTTCCAAAGCTGTTGAATTGATTGAAATCGTAACTAAACAAATCTACTGAGATATGTTCAACAAAACAATCATGTCGAATGTGATTTATTGATCAGCTATCCGTGAGCCATGAGCCATGAACAATGATAAATAGAATGAAACTTTGCGGCTTTGATTTGAACATTGACAACTATGCAAGTTGGTTTCAAATTTACTGTGTGCATTGACACATGGTCACACATTGACAGATCAACAGATTACAGCTAGCGACAATCTGAATCAACTTTGGATGATTTATATTTCAACAACCATTTCCACATGGTTTGAATCACTCGGACAAATCAAATACATGACCAATTGAACAATCAGTCAAGTATTTGGTATACAATGACAGTATATGCTGTAGTGATGGATTGTATATGTGATGATAAATATCCATAATCAGGGTAATGGTCTGATACTACCTGATCACTGAATACATGATCGCAATTGGAGAGATCAACGCAGCATAATACCGAGGTTGATTATACACCAACAGCGATGCTTGTTATTGATTCACCCTACAGGGTGTTTTTGGCTTTGCCCACCCTGCATGGTGCATTTGTGTTTTATAAATACCCATTTGGAAAGTGTCGATTGTCACCCTTGAAACTGCCGTCATTATAAAACGGCAGTCATGTATCAGATTCAACCCATTTTCATTACACTACTCGATACAATGTTGATTACTCTAGAATGCGTTCTACTTGCGTTACAAGCGGTTGCTGCAATTCGACTTGCATTAGAATCACCTTTTGAAAGTGCCAGTCCATCAAACAATAGGCTGTCAAAACGATCACCCGTTGAATTGGGTGGTGATATCACAAAATGCTACACAATTAAAGTCAATGTTGATGGAGTCAATGTATGTATCATGCTATGCATTGTAGTTTGATATCAATAATATTACATTGAATCAATCTCACACTTGTTTAAAATAGTTGAATTTGCAAGTCGATTCATCAATGGCTGATATAGTCGTACCACTTCCTAGTTCAAGCAACGATGTAGGTTTGACTCCGCAACACACTCCAAGTGGGGAACCCGTTACTATAGATTACAAAGGCGATGAGTATAATGGGTTTAGTTCCACAGCTACTGTGACGATTCCGGGTACTAGGATAGCTGGCATCAATTTACCAGTACTAGCAGTTGAAAAACAATCACCAGATTCGGTTGGTATCAGTTCAAAGTTTGATGGAATATTTGGACTTGGCTATCCCTCGTTGTCAAATCATCATCCACCAGCCACTGCAATGGATGCTTTGTACACCAATGATGTCATTCCTAATAACGAGATTGGTCTTCAACTATGTCCGTATGAAATGACTTCAAATAGCTTCATCAATATAGGAAACACGGACGTAACTCCAAAATGCGGAACGGATGGAACAAGTGTTGCATGGGTAAATTCACCATCAGACAATCAATTTAGTGTCAACATCAAGAGTATACTAGTCAATGACGAACCAGTGGATCTGCCCGAGGAATTCCAAAAAAAGGTGGAAAATGGACGTACTTTGTACTCGAGTGTGGAAACATGCTTTTTACATATGCGTTTTCCTGAAGCAGTCGTGGAAGCGTTGGTTGATGCTATTCTTGATAGTGGTGCGATCACTGTCAACATTAATATATTTAGTGACAAACTCGGAAAAGTAATGGTTAAAAAAATATTTTCGCAAAACTACGCAATGCTTGAATCCGGTTTTGATATCGATTGGGGCAAGCTGCCAACGCTTTCAATTACAATGTTTGCTCAAAACCCCGTAACTGATGCCAATTGCAATTCCGTTGTAACAATCAAGTTGGGTCCCAAAGACTATATACAGAGAGCTGGTTCTAAAAATTGCAAGTATTTGACAATTGTATGCAATACGTGTTGTTTGATTAACCTGACTAATGTACATGTTGGATTATAGTTAGATTTGCTATAAAAGCTGGTTCAAATGACAATGCAGTTCTTGGTATTCCATTTATGGCCCAACTTGGATTGACATTTGATTTACAAAATAAACGCATTGGGTTTGGTGCTGGATGTGGATGCGAAGTCATGACTAGCAAATATCCTACTATTTCAAACGGTTATCGAGTGATCTGGTCACCATCACAGTAAGCTGCTTGATATTGATGTGTGGATGTGTCGATTAATACTGATCATGAATTTGGTGCATAGTGCTAGATTGCCTGAACAACCAAGTACTTCAGGTTCAAGTGGCACATTTATTCGCAAAAGGAAACCATAACTACAACTGATCAAGTAGTCGTACCTGAAAATGTTGGACATTGGTAATGTGAGACATATTAGGCAATTAATATAAAACGAATCAGGATCCATAC